GGAAACCACAAATGTTGGAGAGGATGAGGAGAAAAGGGAACCCTCTTACACTGTTGGTGGGAATGTGAACTGGTGCAGCCACTCTGGAAAACTGTGTGGAGGTTCCTCAAAGAATTAAAAATAGATCTGCCCTACGACCCAGCAATTGCACTGTTAGGGATTTACCCCAAAGATACAGATGCAATGAAACGCCGGGACACCTGCACCCGATGTTTATAGCAGCCATGTCCACAAAAGCCAAACTGTGGAAGGAGCCTCGGTGTCCATCGAAAGATGAATGGATAAAGAAGATGTGGTTTATGTATACAATGGAATATTACTCAGCCATTAGAAACGACAAATACCCACCATTTGCTTCCACGTGGATGGAACTGGAGGGTATTACGCTGAGTGAAGTAAGTCAATCGGAGAAGGACAAACAGTGCATGTTCTCATTCATTTGGGGAATACAAATAATAGTGAAAGGGAATATAAGGGAAGGGAGAAGAAATGTGTGGGAAATATCAGAAAGGGAGACAGAACATAAAGACTCCTAACTCTGGGAAATGAACTAGGGGTGGTAGAAGGGGAGGAGGGCATGGGGTGGGGGTGAATGGGTGACGGGCACTGAGGGGGCACTTGACGGGATGAGCACTGGGTGTTATTCTGTATGTTGGTAAATTGAACACCAATAAAAATAAATATATTATAAACAAAAAACAAAAAAAATAAAGCTCTTGTTTCTTTGTAGATGTTGTGCTTAGAATATCTGTCATTTGCAGAAAGTGCCATTTTGAAGTCTCCCAGTAGTGGTAGGTTATCTAAGTATGCCTTTACTTTGGTTATTAATTGATTTATATACTTGGCAACTACCACATTAGGAGCGTAAATATTCATGATTGTTAGGTCCTCTTGTTGGATAGATCCTTTAAGTATGACATAGTGTCCCTCTTCATCTCTTATTAAAGTCTTAGGGATAAACTTTAATTTATCTGATATAAGGATGGCTACCCCTGCTTTCTCTTGAGGACCATTTGAATTGTAAATGGTTCTTCACCCTTTGATTTTCAGGCGGTAGGTGTCCTTAGGTCTAAAATGAGTTTCTTAGGCAGCCCTGGTGGCTCAGTGATTTAGTGCCACCTTCATCCCTGGGTGTGATCCTGAAGACCGGGGATCGAGTCCCACGTCACACTCCCTGCATGGAGCCTGCTTCTCCCTCTGCTTGTGTCTCTGCCTCTCTCTCTCTCTCTCTCTCTCTCTCTCTCTCTCTCTCTCTGTGTGTGTGTGTGTGTGTCTCATGAATAAATAAATAATAAATAAATAAATAAATAAATAAATAAATAAATAAATAAAATGAGTCTCTTGTAGACAGCAAGTATATGGTTTTGCTTGTTTATCTAGTCTGAAACCCTGCATCTTTGGATCGGATCTTTTAGCCCATTCACGTTCAGAGTTACTCTTGAAAGATAAGAATTTAGTGTCATCATAATATCTATTCAGTCTCTGTTTTTGTGGATTATTTCCTTGGATTTCTCTTTCTTTTACAGAGTCCCCCTTAGTATTTCTTGTAGAGCTGATTTGGTGGTCACATATTCTTTCAGTTTCTGCCTATCTTGAAGCTCTTTATCTCTCCTTCTATTCTGAATGAGACCCTCGCTGGATAAAGTATTCTTGGCTGCATGTTCTTCTCATTTAGGACCCTGAATATATACTGCCAGCCCTTCTGGCCTGCCAGGTCACTGTGGAGAGGTCTGCTGTTAATCTAGTATTTCTCCCCATATAAGCTAGGGATCTCTTATCTCTTGCTCCTTTAAGGATTTTCGCTTTTTCTTTAGAATCTGCAAGTTTCACTATTAATTGTTGAGGTGTTGACGGTTTTTATTGATTTTAGGTGGGACCGTCTCCTGGATCTGAATGCCTGTTTCGCTCCCAAAATTAGGGAAGTTCTCAGCTATGATTTGTTCAAATATGCTTTCTGGCCCTCTGACACTCTCGTCACCCTCTGGAACCCCGATTATACGTAGATTTTTCTTTCTGAGGCTGTCGTTTATTTCCCTCAACCTTTCATCATTCTCTTTTGTTTTTATGTTTTTTTCCTCAGCTTCCTTCCTTGTCATCAACTTGTCTTTTATGTCACTCCCTTTGTTCTTCTACCTCATTAACCCACGTGGTTAGGACCTCCAGTTTGGATTGCAACTCATTTAATTGATTTTTAATTTTGGCCTGATTAGATTTAAATTCTCCAGTCATGAAGTCTCTTGAATCCTTTATGCTTTTTTTCCAGAGTCACCATTAGCTTTATAATTGTGCTTCTGAATTGGCTTTTTGCCATCGCATTGTAATCCAAATTCTGTAACTCTGTGGCAGAGAGCACTGTTTCTGATTGTTTCTTTTGTGGCAAGTTCTTCTTTCTAGTGTTTTTTCTCAGTGCAGAGTGGCTGTATGAGCGGGCTGCGTCAAGAATATCAACCACAACCTAAGTATATTTCATGTAGATGATTCTGCTGAGGTCAGAGACCAGAAATTTAAAACCAAGATGAGAACGAAATAAACAAAAGGACCACTAAAGTGAAAAACAAATTTTAAAACAAAGTAGTAAAAAATAAAAGGCCAGGAATCCCAAAGAAGAAGAAAAAAAAAGAAAAGAAAAAAGAAAAAAAGGGGTTATTGGGAGATGGTTGTGGTGAAGAAGTTGTAGTAGAGGGAGAATGTAGTCTACCCGAGGGGCTCTAGAGGGTGATCCTCTTGTTTCTTAGTATATTAAATTCTGTATATTAGAAGATGCTCAGTCCTAAATTTATATAAACCAGAAGTACTTGTAGAGGGCCTAAACATTGAACACCAAAACATAAATGAGATAAAAGAGGGGGGGCAGAATGGGACTGAGGAATCTCACAGAATGAACTAGAACAGTATACCACTTGGTTCTGGGTGCATACTGGCCATGTTTTAGAACCTATAAACTTCCACCATTGTAAAACAAAATGAGGCCGAGAAAACAAAAAAACACAAAACAAAACAAAAATATCTGTATATCTCCCTCAATTAAGTTGAGTATGTTGAATGGAATCTAGAAGTGGAAAGTATATCTAGGACCTGTAGCTGTAGAAATATGAAAGTCAAAAAGGAAGAACCTTAAAAATGAAGAGGTGTTAAATTATTGTAGTTAAGGTGGGAAAAGAGGAAAAATTGGAAATTTACCTTCTGATACAAAAGCAAGTCGTACTGGAACAAGGAAGAAAAAAAAGGAGGGGTACCCTCTAGTTCTATATACTGTAAATCCCTCGACTTCCCCTGGAGCTTACCAGTGCTGCTTGGTCAAGAACTTGCTCTTCCCTGGTTCTTCCAGCTGGTCTTCTGGGGGAAGGGCCTGCTGTGCTGATTCCTAGGTGTGTGCACCTGAGGGAGCTGCCCCACCCCCTGCCAGGTGCCAAGCTCCTTAGGAGCTGTTTATCCTGTGAGGCCCCTGTTCCCTGGTGGCCCCACCTCTCCCAGGCATAGGGTGAAACAAGGAGGAAAAACAACAATGGTGGCATCCAGATTTGCAGCTCTGGAGTCAGCTCCCTGCAGTAACTCCTGCAGTCTCCCAGTCCACACTGGCCTGGATGCTCCGGGGGGGGCGGGGGGCGGGGGGGGGGTGCTGATCTGTACAGCTCGGGGGCACCTGAAAGCAGGGGAGTCCTCACTGTCCTGGGCCCTCCCCACCTCTGCCTGTCCCGGGGGGGGAGTGGGAAGGATCCTGGGCTGTGTCCGCTGGCACCCCGGGATCCAGGGCCTGTGCTGCTTGAATCGTGCTCCGGGGGTCTCGGCTCCTGAAGGCAGCAGGGCACAGCCCCCCTCTGTCCAGAGCCACCCACTGACCAATCGACTTCTCCCGAGGCCCCAATGGATGGGTGCTCCATCCCTTTACCGTGCTCAGCCCACCGTGCGTGGTGCTCTCCCCCAGGGGGCACTTCCTCCATTAGTGACTCCCGGAGACTGGAGGCATGTGTCAACTACCATTGCTTAGAGTTGGCAGAGGGTACAGTTAGTTATCTTATAGAACCATGGGGCCCCAGGCTAGCAGGGGGAATGTCACAGCTAGAACGTTGTGTGGTTACTTCTCTGCTTTTTCTAGATCTAATCTCTGCCCTGTCTGACCTAATCTATTCCCAGGGAATCTGAAGACTTCTGATTCTATCTCCTGGATTTGCCCTCTGACTTCTGCTTAAGTTTTTAATGGGTGCTAGCAGGAAACCAGAAGGCAGGAGTTAAGAAGGGTTAGGGTATTTTTCCCACTCAATCCTTCTTTATCTGCCACAGTTCATATGTTCTTTTAAGGCTACAGCTTTTGTCAGGCCCATTCCATTACTGCCAGGTTCCAGTGACACTGCTCTTTCTCATTGCCACTGTAGGCCCAGGAGTAGTAATTTATAGCTTCCTCCTTTGTTGGGAAGTAGTACTTGTAATAATGGGCCTTTGCTCCTAACAGTAAATAATTTTTCTATGTCCCTCGAATACTTTCTTTCATGTGTTACTGAAGTCTTTACTCTTCTTCCCACTTGCTCTCGTAAGTTTGAGAGGGGGAGTTTTTAATTATTTTTGTAGTTGGATAATATGGGATTGCTTGTTACATCTGCTGATGGAAGTCCATTAAAACCAGTAATATGGGATGCCTGGGTGGCTCAGCAGTTTAGATCCTGCCTTTGGCCCAGGGTGTGATCCTGGAGTCCTGGGATCAAGTCCCACATCGGGCTCCCTGCATGGAGCCTGCTTCTCCCTCTGCCTGTGTCTCTGCCTCTCTCTCTCTCTCTCTGTATGTCTCATGAATAAATAAATTAAAAAACCTTTAAAAAATAAAAAACAGTAATATACAGAAATCATAGCTCTGAATTATTTAAATGTGGATCTGTTCATTTTTCTCAATGAAATATTTAATACCAAAAACTAGAAATAAAATTTCTCCCTTTTTCTATCCCCAAGCCAGCTATTGACTTAAGATTAAGAAAAAAAGAAAAGTAATTGACACCATGCTGAGTTACCTTGTACCACACAACATCAGGCTCCTGATCGGACTTTTTAAAGTCATCCATGTCTGGACAGGAGATCTCCTTTCTTTTAGTGACTTCGGATTTTTCTAAATAGCGTATCCTACTATTGTAGCACAGGCCTGATTCATTCTCTGCAACAGTCAGGGACATTGACACCTTCATGCAATATGTCGAGTTTCTGTAGGAACAGAGAAATAGCAAAATGGCTTTACTGGGTGTTTAGAACTTTATTTGTGCTCTCTATATTTCAATAATGTTTACCTTTCCATTTGGACTTGCCTAGAAATAAGAAACAACATCAAAACAACACAGAACAGTTTTCCATTTCAACAGACAGGACGATAGAAAACAAAATGCTAATGAGATCATCTCTGACCATAAGGTAGCTACATAGCTACATAGAACAGCTGTACTCATCTTCTAAACTATAAGACACTTCAAACTTCTTTCCCAGTGGTAAATATTGCCACATTAAAGATTTGATAGTGAAAACTTATGAGAAATTCTGTAATTAGAGCTATGGTTATTTCTGCCCTACATAGATATAGTCAACTGATCTTTGACAAAGAAGCAAAGGCAACACAATGGAACAAAGAATGTCTTTTCAATGGATGGTACTGGGATGCCTGGATGGCTTACTGGTTAAGCATCTGCCTCTTGGTTTCAACTTAGGTCATGATCTCAGAGTCCTGAGACAGAGTCCCATGTTGGGCTCTGTACTCAATAGGGAATCTACTTGAGATTATCTTCTTCTCACTCTCCCTCTACCCTCTCTCTCCTATCATATAAATAAATAAATCTTCTAAAAATCAAATAAAATAATAAAAAGTAAAAATAAACAAATGGTACTGGAACAACTGGGCATCCAAACAAAAAAAATTAATCTAGACACAGATCTTTACACCTATTATGAAAAATAATTTCAAATTGGATCACAGAACTAAATGTAAAATCCAAAACCATAAAAATTTTAGAAAATAACACAGGAGAAAACCTAGATGACCCTGGATATCGCAATGATTTTTTAATTAAAACATCATGGACATGATCTATGAAAAAAATAACTTAAAGTTAATAAAATTAAAAACTTCTGCTCTACAAAAGTCAATGTCAGGAGAATTAGAAAACAAGACACAGACAGAGAAAATATTAATAGATGACACATCTAATAAAGGACTATTATCCAAAATATATAAAGAATTCTTAAAACTCAACAATAAAGAAATGAAAAAAAAATTAAAATAGGTCAAAGACCTTAACAGAAATTTCATCAAAGAAGATAAGACATACAAATGGCAAATAGACATTGGAAAAGATGTATATCATATGTTACCAGGGAAATGCAAATGAAAACAAACATGAGCAAATGAAAACAAACTGCACACCTATTAGAATGGCCAAAATCCAGGGCAGCCCAGGTGGCTTAGCGGTTTAGTGCTGCCTTCAGCCCAGGGCCTGATCCTGGGGTCCTGGGATTGAGTCCCACGTCAGGCTTCCTGTATGTGTCTCTCCCTGCATGTTTCTCCCTCTGCCTGTGTCTCTGCCTCTCCCTCTGTGTGTGTGTGTGTCTCTCATAAGTAAATTTTAAAAAAACCTTAAAAAAAAAAGAATGGCCAAAATCCGGAACACTGACAATACCAAATGCTAGTGAGGATGTAGTGAAACAGGAACTCTCATTCATTGCTAGTGGGAATGCAAAATCGTACAGCCACTTGGAAGATGGTTTGGCAGTTTTTTAACAAAACCAAATATACCCTTGCCGTACAATCTAGCATTTGTGTTCTTTGGTATCTACCCAAAAGAGGGGAAAAATTATGTCCACACAAAAGCCTACACACAGATGTTTATAGTTTTGTTCATAATTGCCAAAATTTGGAAGCAACCATGATATCCCTTAGTAGATGAATATGTAAATAAATTATGGTATATCCACACAATGGAATATTATTAAATGCTAAAAATAAATAAGCTTCCAAGCCATGAAAAGATATGGAGGAAACTTAAATGCATATTACTAAGTAAAGGAAGCCAACTGAAAAAGCCACATACTGTAGGATCCAACTATATAATATTTTGAAAAGGCAAAATTATGGAGACACTAAAAATATCAGTGGTTGCCAAGGGTTGGGAGGAAGGAGGAATAGGTGAAACATAGAGGATTTTAAGGGCAGTGAAAATACTCTGTATGATACTCTAATGATGGATACGTGCCATTATACATTTGTCCAAATCTATAGAATGTACAGCAGGAATAAACCACAATGAAATCTATGGACTTTAAAAAAAAGAAATCTATGGACTCTAGGTGAAAATGACGTATCAATGTTGGTTAATCAATTATAGCAAATGTTCATTCTGGCAGTGGATGCTGATAATGGGCTATGCATGTGTGGGGGCAGGAGGTATATGGGGAACTTCTGTATCTTCCTCTCAAATTTTGCTGTGAATCAAACATCTCTAAAAAATAAAAGCCTTAATAAAAGAGCAGGAGGCCCAAAGCTCTGATCAGTTTCTTAATATTATCATTTTATGAAGAGCTACAGCCTTTTAGATACATTCAAATGACATTTATTGAACATCTGCTATGTGCCATGCTGCTTGTATATATGGTAAGGCAGATATAAACTTAATACAATCATAAAAAATATCTGTGCTATAATGCTGCAATAAAAATAAAAACAAAACAAATGAACAAAAGGGGAAAAAAGAGACAAACCAAAAAACATACTCTTAACTATAGAGAACAAATGGGAAGTTTGGGTTGGAGGGAAGTTGGGTGGGAGGATGGATGAAGTTGGGTGGGAGGATGGATGAAATTGGTGAAGGAAATTAAGAGTATACTTATATTGATGAGCACTGAGTAATATATAGAATTATTGAATCACTATATTGTACACTTGGAAGTAATATAACACTGGATGTTAATGATCTTCGAATTCAAATTTTTAAAAAAGGGACTTGCCCCATGGGGGAGACCTCAAAAATAAAACAACAACAAAAATATCTGTGCTATGGTAAGTTGGGGAAACACAGGATCTTTTTAAAAATCTTACTTTTGCCCTTTTTGGTCTACAAGAAAATAATAATCTTATCTAGAGTTGTAAATAGTTTAGGGTTTTTTTTTTATTTTTTTATTATTTTAACAAAAATTATCATCATTCATAGATGATATCTCTAGTCTATAAGAATGTCACTATAATAGGTTGGAGTTTATGCACATTTTTTTCCATTAGGCAGAAACTTGATTAATAAACAAACAAGGATTTATTGAAGGTATAAACAGATAATACTGTTCTCTCCTGCTGACATGAACACGCAGCCTTTGGCATGGCACTGATTATCTCCAACCCAAGATTATTCAAAAATAATCTCTTTATGGTTCATGATGCATTCAGAGAAAAGGTTAACTCACAGACTTGAACTGAACTGGACCTGAGTAGCTCACTGCTTGAGAATATGGCCTCTGAAGAAAAAGAATTTTGGGTTCAAATCCCAGCTCTCATATCCTAACTATGGATCTCTGGACAGGTCACTGAGCTTCATTTTTCCATATGTAAAATGAAATTAAAGAAGGGTTATCTATAAACGGGTATTATATTACACAAATGTTAAAAATTGTAAGAGTTGGGGATCTGTGATTTTTCCATACTTGCAAGCTAATAAATCGGGCTACCATTTTCACGGGTATTGGTAGAAGACAAAAGACTACTGGGTTGGAAACAGTAGACAGTTAATTTTTCACAGCAATGAAAGCAGCCAAAGTATCAGCATCTGTGATACTTCCCTAACAATTCCTATAGGACAATACAAAGAGGGCCAGATTACACCTGCACAAGCAGTGGGTTGCATTAAAGGAGAAGAATCCCAAGTTTAGAAAACACAAATCTTTTATAATGGGTCATAAGCATGCCTGCCCTTTGCTCCAAAGGGAGCCACTATCTATATTTTCCAAGGCTGTAAGCAAACCTGCCCTTTGCTCTGGTGAAAGACACTATTTTCCAGCTTTTGTGATTGTTCTCTCTATATACATATCCCTGAAAAAGTAATCTGGGAAAAGGGATAGTGAGTACCTGTGCTCATAAAACATGCAGAAGTCCAAGAGACCAACAGAGAACTGTCTTCCAACAATGAGGTAGTTCATTTAAAACACTTAGCACAGTACCTGGCTCATGGTAAGTGATTAATAAAAATCAACCATTTTTAACATCATCACCATTATTAATACATTATCTACTGACTCCCAAACCAAACTGTAATTTAAATGAATATATTTTGGGTTTTGTTGTTATTTAAAAAGAAAGCCAATGAACCAGATTACAATAGAAATTATATATATTCTAAAATCAACTTGCTTAAGACATAATTTTATCATCAAAATATCACGCATCCTGAATTCAAAACAAAGCATAATTTATTTGGGGTTGAGCATTTAAGTCAGAAACCTACTCAAGAAAAAAATTGTGTATATATATATATATATATATATATATATATATATATGATAATCCCTTCATAGATAATGGAGAATTATGGATCTTTCCAGCAGCAAGTTCAAGTAACCATTCTTAAAGAAAGTAATTGCAATCTGCCACCTATGGGTACAAATAGCTAGTTAAAACTCTGTCTGCCAATGACTGAGATGTGGTAAAGGTAAGGGAATAATCAAGATAAATTCAAAACATTCCTTGCCATGGGGGGAGGGAGGGGCAAGATGGCGGAAGAGTAGGGTCCCCAAATCACCTGTCCCCACCAAATTACCTAGATAACCTTCAAACCATCCTGAAAATCTACGAATTCGGCCTGAGATGTAAAGAGAGACCAGCTGGAATGCTACAGTGAGAAGAGTTCGCGCTTCTATCAAGGTAGGAAGATGGGGAAAAAGAAATAAAGAAACAAAAGGCCTCCGAGGGGGAGGGGCCCGCGAGGAGCCGGGCTGAGGCTGGGGCGAGTGTCCCCAGGACAGGAGAGCCCCGTCCCGGAGAAGCAGGAGCTGCACCAACCTTCCCGGGCGGGCGGAAAGGGGCTCGCAGGGAGTTGGAGCAGGACCCAGGAGGGCGGGGATGCCCTCGGGCTCCCGGGGACACTAACAGACACCTGCAAGCACAGGGGAGTGCTCCGAGCTCCCTAAGGGCTGCAGCGCGCACGGCGGGACCCGGAGCAGCTCAGAGGGGCTCGGGA